GTCAATTGCCCCTTAACGAGTGACCCATGCCAAGGTGGCTAGTGTTTACTTATATGTATATATCATAATAAAACTGGTATCGTGACGTTGATAGATCGTTTGAGACTCAATTTTCGAATTCGTGATTCTTAAAATTGGGTCAAAATTTTATAATGGGTCTCGGTTCTAATGTAAATTCCAAAGGTGACCAAGTTTAAATCCCACATAACTCTCACAACGTGTATAAATTCGTTATTAAAGCGTAATTTCAGCACTTGAAACCATTAAAATTCACACACTATCAAAGTTTTACACTGTTTAAATTGCTGTAAAAATTCCCTAAAATATTAAAAAAAAAAAAAGTGGTAAAATTTCCAAAAAATTCACGATTTTTAGCTAAAATAAACTTCAATACAATTAAAGAACTTATTAAATCAATAAAATATCCATAAAATAAATTATTAAAACTTAATAAATCAATTAAAATGGCGTGTAAGAGCAAAGAAAGTAACTAATAAAAAATGTCGAAAATATTAAATAATAAAATTCAGTCGAAGAATTCGAATAACTCGAACGATAAATGGTTTAATATTAAAGCAAAGCACAAAAGATCAGACAATAGGAAAACAATTGACTTTCACTACACAACGGAATCTGTATGGGGGATCTATATAAAGCGTGTACACTTGTGTCAGTGCAGGCATCGCTCTAGAAGTCACGCAAGCCTCATATGGTTATAGTTAAATAAAACTGCTCGCATGTTCATCAATAAAGGATGAAGGATATTTCATTTATTATATATATAGCCCCTATACAATCGAATTTTTGCTTGTATAGTGAAAAAGATAGCGGAATATAGATGATTGCATTCAATGGTTGGCAGCTCTTGCACTTCTCGATTGAATGCCACATAAGTTAAATTAAATATTTATAATTGTTAAAAAAGAAAAAATCAATTGTAAAATTGAAATGTTATACTTTCATTCTAAGTTATTTAAATGGCTTTAAATTGTATATAAATTTTATTTATTGCTTATAAAACACGTTTAAGTCTATTTTTCTACAATCCCCTCACGAAAGGGCGAATAGAAATCTTGAAATCTCTGAAGGATTCTGCAATTCCTTAAGAGATTCTTGAATTTATATAAGCCCCATGGGGTCAGCAATTGGGGCAAACGGAACACTTGTCCCCTAAGATCGAATAAAAATTCCACAAATTATAATTGTAAGAGTGATTGAGATATCTGACCTTACACCCTCGACTATTGAAAGCTTTGTCTTTTCTATAATCTACTTGCTAAAACCCTAACAAAATTAAATACATAAAAATTTATTGATGTAATTATTTGTCTTTGCCCCTAAAATTTTCTGTGGACGTCCATATTATACACTATATAGAAAAACCCTATATCTCAGCTTCAGCGCTTGTGTGCTCTTTAAGTGATTCATGCTTTTGCCTATAAGAGAAATAGTGACTCCCGAATCTCGCAATTGTAGTCACGTCGAGTAAATACTTTTCAAAATTTATCCTGTCAATTATCCTACTCATTCTGAAAAACTCGACTTTGTCCTAATGGATCAAAAATTGCTTCTAAGCACGCTATTTTAGCGCGTGATTCACTTTCGTGTCGATGTATGCGCAGACATAGAACATGTAAAACATTACTGTAATTACTAATATAATATTCGCTTTATGTGGATTTTTGGGACGTTCTCCTGTACAGATAAAATGTGATAAAATTTTGTTTAAAAGACATCAAGGATCTGGTTAAGGATAACCTTACAGAAGATAGGGAGGAGTAGTCATTCTCGAAAATGTGGGGTGTAGTTCTTGTAGAAACAGACTTATTCAGCATCAATATCTGTCTAAATCTTACAATGGCGTGGTAATTTCTTATAAAATATCTTATATAAGCATGATAATTTGTACTTTTTCAGGCTAAAAATCTAAATCTTTACAGATATCTGCGATCTATTGACATTAAGGATCAATAACGAGGTGTGTATTCTGTAACGTCGCTTCAATTATAAGCGAATTCATTAACATTTGGCGAATTTATATTTTAAAAAATTCTATAAACCTGATAAACTTATCAACGATTTTTTATTTTAGATAGAGCCTGAATATGTCTTTAGGGATACTTGTAGTGTACTGATACACAAGATTAATGAAGTCTATATTGTAAGAAGGAGTGCATCCTGTATAGTGATGTTATATTTTCAAAATAATTAATTAACAATCGGCATAAACGTGATAAACCAGAAAAACTACTCACGGTTTATTGTTTACATAGGCGTAGAAAAGAGGCGTATTACGTTGACCTCGAGTAAATTCCTAGATCCTACAGGAATAAGGCTTTAAGGATGGGTCAAGTGCCTATTTTAAGTGTAGATTGAGGTGAAAATATAAAGGAAAATTTACTTAATACGATAATTTACGTGTACAAAAGCAATAAAAGCGAAGCGAGTAATTTCTCACGATCTTTTTGTTTACATCATAAAGATAATAGCTCAATTTAAACAATATTAATTACGAGACGGATCTACGGATAACAATCAAAATCAATACAAAACGGAAAATAGGAGAAGTGTTTATATCAACACAATACCGTTCAAAAGCGTCATAGCTTTAATTACCAACAATTACCCCAATCGGAGGAAGTTTACTGTACTCATGCGTTCACATCCGTTGATCGGTTGAGTGTGTCGGCAAGGGGGGAGGGGAGAAAACTCAATTAACACTCTGCAACGCTAAGTACGTTACACGGGGCCTAATGTCGGTTGTCCAATCCGTTAGTTTGGTCGGGGTCCCTATCTGAGCGTAACGTCGACACATCTGCTTATTAAAAAGGAAACGGCACCGGAGCGAAACGCTAATGAAGACAGCTTGTGCACACAATCTGTGATATGCGCGTTCCGCTACTGCGAATCGATTTGTCGGACGTTAATGACAGTTTGCGAAACAATTCAGACACATCACCCTCCCATGTCTGCTCTACTAATAATAATTGTAATAACGGACTAATATCTTGCTTGACGGACCGTATGAAGGGGTGGGAAAAGGGCGGAAATTGCTCTCGCTCGCCTTTAAACGCCTTCATTTTTATATAACTTCTACCTGCGCTTGTGTAGTCTAATGACACTATGTTGTGTGTTATCTACAACTGAACTTACCATGCTCTTCTTCAATCGCGTACTCGAGTGTAAGGAATATAAGAGTTAAAAATGTCTGTACAGTACAATCTATTTAAATTCTAAATCGGATCGTTTTTTTGTTTACTTTTTATTTAAACCGATGTTTGCTTTTTAAAAAACCAATTTACTAGGTTACCCATTCACTAGGTCTGTAGTTTTCAATGAGGTAGGCCTATACAGTCAAGGTTGCACGAATTATACAATTGCAAAACTTCTAAACACAACTTTTATATTATAATATATTACTAAATAAATTTAAAAATTATATAATTTAATTTATATTCATATTCTATATAAATTCCTTTAAAATTTTTATGATGGGAGTCGTGATCTTCTGCGTGTTATATACGGTAAAGTGACGTATCATTGCTTTAGTTCATTTAAATATAATTATTTTTAATTTATATAATTTATGTAGGTAAAAATTAACAATTTATCTAATAAAAAAGACATATTGTAGTAAAAATACTTAATATATATGCAAATAAATAATTTAAAGCTTCAATTCGACTCGCTGCGATAATATTTATTCAGCTTTTATAGATCTTTATAGAGAAAAATTGAGGAATTTGAAACAGTTACACTTTACACATAATAAAGTGCATTAAATAATATGAGATAAACGCCCTCTGTCCTTGTGACGTAAGAGGACAACGTTATAATGTTCACAGATGCATAAAAGTGAAATGAATAGCGTTTGAGGCCTCTTACAAGGTTCGAGGGCTCGCTCGAGTAGGCTACTATTTTCGAGATTGTTTAACTTAAATACCCCAGGGAAGATTACTTCTAGGGGATTGTCGCATGTGTTTATTTATAATCGAGACATATTCCCATTATATTTTTAGATAGAAAACAAGTGGACGGATACGAAACGACCTCTGACATTGGTCGCAAGCAATGTCGTGATGTCACAAGTCGAATGTGTCGTCAGATTTACACAGTCGAGCGAACACCATCTAGATAACTACTAAGGCTGCGTTGTTAGACTTCCTGTATTCGAAGGCCGGAAAGTATCATTGTGTTTTTCGTTCTAACTGATGGTTATCTTGTTATGCCCACCCTTTTTTCCCTTTTATTGTTAATATTATTTATATAGATTTATATAAAAATAAAAAATTCCAATGTGTTTACATCCGAAATGTTTGCGTAATGGCAACACAAAGCCTCTTTAGAATATCTCAAATTATTTAATTATAATAGATTAATGCCCCTGTGTATAATTTATGGCCTGTAAAACAGGTTTTCTTGCTAAGGGAATTAAAATTCACTCGCGTTGACCTAAAAGTTGAGTCGGCAAAATAATGGCACAGTAAGTACGAAAAGAATTCGAGTTGGCCCGAAGATAAAATGGCATATAAACAGTAAAGTAGTATCAGATATCAATGTTCTCACGGGTGCTCTTCTGCTGTTCTACGAAGCGTGACCAAGTGATTTTTGTCGCCTTGTAGTTGACAACATAGCCGCTTCATCTAAGCTATAAAGTACTATCACATCTTAGAGACTCGGCAACCCTTAAATTATTCGGCTTGCCGACCGAGATGATTGGATACAAACTATGAATCTCGACTAACTTAATACACCTCTGTCTATTTAACCTCCAAAGACATTTTTCTGTTGTTAAAAGAACCTGGCTAAGGCAGAACAAGTTATTGCCAATCGAACGCACGCGATTGGCCAATGTATGTTATGGACACGCCTCTTCGAGTTACGCGCGCTCGTCGATTGGTGGAAGTATCCGACTTCGGTTGTTTTGTAGAAAGGCGAGGCGTGGCTTTCCTCGTCTGGCGCTGCTTGTGTGATTGTCGCTCCATTCTGAGCTACTCGACGCAGAAGTGCAGCTGGGTTGTCCATACTGCGGACTTCTTCCGATGGCCGTGGACTTTGCAGTGCCCGATCTTCATCAACAAATGCCAGACAGATTGCCACACGTAGACGACGGTACGCAACGCAGCAAACCTACAAGCCCTCGTGTTACTTGTTCACTATCGCCATCGGTGACTCCACCGTCTTCTTTCTTCATCAGGGACATACTCAGCGATCCAAGACCCTTTAAACCCGTTTTTAGCCCTGCTGGAGAAGCCGCATTATCGCCTAGGGCTGCAGATTCTCCCAATGCTGCTGCGGGGGAACCATCCGCACCCGAACCTCAGGACTTAACAGTAAGACTATCTGTGCCCAAAGCCGATGACGAAAACGCAAGGATAGCCGAACGTGATCGTGACGTGACGGAAGACGAAGATGATGTCATCAGTAACGAAGATAAACATCACGATATCGGTGAGTTACTTTCTGATGGTTGGCCGTCTTGCCCCCTCCCTTTTTTTTTTAAATAAGTCATAGTGTCGGATTGTTAGAGAAAGTTGCGAGTGTTTGCGTGACTCTCCGCGTTCGTGACTACTTTTTCCGTACTTCGTGTTAGTCAGGTGTCGAAGCTATGAAGGCAAAGCAGCGTGAATGTCTGCAGGTGTTTCTGGGTGTATAGGCCTTTGAATCTATAGTCAAACATGATCATTCGGAGGGCAGATCCCAACGTCATTTCTCCCCCTAATGGCATTTTTTTAACTAGATCATCACTCGAAACATACCCACCGGGCCTCTTAATAGGTTAACAAAGGGCTTTCCCTCTTTAAAACCTGACAATTTGCTCCCTAACCAGAAAAAAAATGGTTCTAGTACAGATTTAGATCTCAATTATGGATCCAAACTGGGTTCTATCTCTCACAGTTCTAACGAGATGAAAGACTGGAAAGGCTGACGCCCTTAAAATCTTTATCCTAAATTCATAAACAGTGCTGTAATTTCGATTCTTGTAAATAAAAATCGCTTGGTTGCTTATGTAAATGAATTTATTTTGCTATGCTTGGAAGGTTATGAAGGTTTTATAACAATGCGGAAAAAACGAGAGGGTATAATCGCATATAATTTCTGATAATGGTTATAATTGGAGTCATTTTTGAACGGTTTTAGTTCTGTTTAATCTGTAAACAATCTTAAATTCTGTACTATTTCGAAAATTGTATCAAAAAGTATTCTTAGAAACTATGCATGTGGGTAGTTTCGAGCATGTTCATGACATAAAAATTCTGTTTCGTTTTTCTTTTCTTTAAATGGATGAGATAGCTTTTAAAATTCACGGGATAACTCTTGTCATTCAATGGAAACGAGGACACCAATTTTAGAAATTATCCAATCAACTTGGACTGCTTTCCCTAAACAATATAGACGAGAATCACTTGGGAAGATACAAAATGGGGTCTGACTTTTCTCTGCTGTTTAATCTCACAGTGTATTTATCTTTATGCATAGATATAGTTTCTCCCCATGGCTAGGTTGACCTATAAGTTAAAGACGAATGGCATTATTCTCATAAGTTTAGCGTTCTGTTTACTTTGTTACTGTATAAAGTACTACGTAACAAACTCCATAATTTATTACAAAAATTCTATTAATTTTTCTAGGTCTGGTGTATTATTTATTAACTTAACAGGCCTGATAATGTGTATAAAGTGTAGAAGGTTGTTGGCAATTTATACAGTTTCAAACTCTATACATGGGAATATTACGATAAATTTCGTGAATGTTATAGTATTTATCTTATTAGAAACATCTCTATTTAAAGATTATTGTTAAATAATTAAATTGAGTCACACAAGAACAAACATTATTGCCCTTTGAGAGAAAATGCGCTCCTGTCTAATGGTGATCATTAAGTCATCTGGACTTAAAATAAACCAATTGAACTTTATATAATTGCGTAACATGTAACACGGATTAATGCCCCATTATCTACAAATTGTGGGCTTCTTTCTCACCAATGCGTTCTCTCTAATAGACCTAACTTAAAGACGGTTTAGTAACAGATAAATTGGGAAGATAATCAAATTTATTTAAACTTTGTAGTTCTTCTAACGATTAACTACATACGTAGCAGTTATGCTATTATAGTAATAAGACCTTATTAGCATTGAAAGTAGGTAAATTATTGTTACTCAGAACAAAAATTGATATTCCTCACGACAATAAGGGATAGTTTTTAACTGATTCTTATGAAATATTTTTAATTTTACCCTTGGATGACTCCAAATGATTGTTAGGAAAAACAATAAGAATTAAAATGACTCGATATTGCATCATTTTGTTAAGTAAAACGAGATCTTTTTAAGTGGCGAAATGATATATCGTCCAACAAGCTCAAACCAGGACATCATTATTAGCCTATTATTGCTCTGACACATTTACACATGTTTTTTGGCCTATAGGCATATTTATGCTTAGTGTAATTTAAAATTAAAGTTTTAAAATTTGGCTTTATAATAAACTAGTTTAAAATTCCAAGTTTTTCAACCGTATCATCTCTTTGTATCAACAACTTTTGAACGAGAATCAGAGGGTCACATATCTTTATCTCCATTTTTTAATACGTAAAAAAATAGTAATAACAGCATAGTGGCTTATTAATTACTATCTTGAGAAGAATATTTGTTATAATATTTGCCGTAGCATTTTTATTGTTCTTATTATAGCTACAGGATAAAGTTGATCTTAGCCTTGGAGTCTTCGAGCGGATAAAAATAAATTTAAATTGTTTACCAGTTTATTATCGAACCCTGTTTTTTTACACACAATTTTATGTTAAAACGTCACAGGTGGATTAATTTTGACAAATAACCGACATGTTGACACGATGTAATCATGCGTTAAAAGTTGTCACCAGGTAGAAAGTAAGTTTGACAGATTCTCGACTCTTCCATACCCATTATAAATGTCTCAACTCTAACGATTAAAGATCTGTCTAATGAAACTATTTAAACTTTCAAAAAAAATTGATAGATACGTTCGATAATCGCTTCACATAATATTAAAATTCGCTTTTTATCAAAGCCTACATCTGTACACTTCATATTAAGATTATAGGAGATATGGAAACAATCGTGGGTGTATAAACAGGAGCTAGGTTCTGTTTATTAGATGATTAAACTGATAACTTTTCGAACGTGAAACTTTATTTTCGACTTTAATCCATACGTCTATCGAATAATAGATTAAAACTTAATCAACCCCATCTTTCTATTTAACAATACAGCTTTTGTTGTAGGGATAAATCCAGCCATTTTGTATAAAATCCGATAAGACATCACAAAGACACTTTCTACTCCCGAGTTATATATATATATATAAAGACTAAAGCTCAATCCAAGCGTTAGTGAAGTAGTTACCCAAATCAGCCTGGGGCATCCCGTCGCCTGTCATCTGCTGCTGGCCTAATAGGCTTTTTTCTGTCTGTAATTAGACCGTTGGCGGCGAGATAAACAGGGACTATCCCCCTTAACGATGACCCACCGACTCTTTTATAAAGGAATCTACTTGAAGTGGCTGCTGTTTGTATTCTATTCAACAATCGAATTTAGGCATTTTCTGCATTTTGCAGCATCTTCTAATAAAAAATGAAATCGTTAACTTTATGAATAAGCCTTTTCTTGTGGACTAGTCAATGAAATAAATTTATTTAAAGTCTACTTCACAATTCTTAAAACTTCAAAAACTTTAACGTGGTGTAGTCAATTATCTAGGAATTTATTAATTTTGCACCTTCTCTATGGGAAATTATTTTGCATCCGTTGTAAATAACAATCATTCTCTTAAATATTATAGCTTTATTCCATAAGAATTTTCTATTTTATACACACTTTCCACGCCGTAACAATGGCAATATGTAACTTAAAATGCTCTCGTTTACAGGAATCATCAGCAATACATCTCTGTCCATTTCTAAAAATCTTTATCAGTAGGGAAATATATCCCTGTAATAAATGTTAATAAGGCTACGTTAGAGGCCCACTAAATTATAATTAGGCTGGTAATCCCACAGTAACAGCGCCAGCCACACGAATAAACCCCAAGGCTTTGCCAAGAGAGATGTTGTAGAACATTGCAGACCCCATTAAGCAACATTTGACACCAGTAAAGTAATACGTCGGTGGTGTCCCTGAGCAGTTATCCAGCGCAGACGTCCTATATAGTTACATCTACCGGTTAGCAAGATAAGATGTGACAGTTGGGAAACACACGTGGCAACCTATTCAAGATCTGAAGCCCCTAGAGGGACCGCAGATTGCGGACCTTACAGTTCCCATCGTGACCATCACACGCTATTCAACACGTATCCTAGACACTTCTTTACCAAGGAATTAGCTGTGTAAGAGTCGAATTTCTTTCCTCTTCATCCAGTTAATTATAATATTCTCTTTTAATTAACCATGTTTTGATGCGTTCATAAAACATTTCCACCTTTTTCTTTGCTAAAAAAAATGGCCTTTTTTTGGTTAGATTTTAAGTGGTTTTGTCTTGTCGCGAGATACGAGAAGATGAAAGATTTTTAAGCATCTCGAGTCGATCAATTTTTAAATTAAGAAATGATTTAAATTTTTAAGTTGATTTTTTTATATATATATGCAAAAAATAACCATGCAGACCTCTTCACTTTCCAGTTAACGCTCTTATTCGTTTTAAATTTGGCTCAATGATAGATCACCTAATCACTCTATTAGTTTTTCACCTTGGCGTAGTACAAGAAGACGTATTATATCTTCCAAATACTAAAACACGTTCAGGAATTCTTAATTTTTTTAACTCCACGACTCCAAACTCTATCCCTCGACGAAAGCATCAATTACATTTATAAAAAGGTGTGGAAGTATTAGCTATAGACCTATTATTATTAAACATGTTTGAATTTCTAATATAGGTTCGGCTGTCACCTAAATTTGTAGATTTACACTATGAATATTTATAGAAAGATGCATGCAACATTACCAAATGATGCTTATCTTATCTTTCAGTTGATAAAAAATGAAGAACTAAACTATAATTTCAATTTTTGAACTGTACTAAAAAAAAAGGAAGCGTGAATATATTTTTATAAACATATATATACATATAAGTCAGGCAAACTTTATCGCTTATATGCCAGTCAACTTTATTTTCTAATTAGCATAATTGGAGAAAAAATTAAATTGAAGTTATTGACGCCACATGAGGTTGAATAGATGCATCCTTTTAAGTTTCCAATTGAAAGTATCCGAAGAGGCTACTACATTTTGCTTGGCAGGTGGATTTCATTTTAGTTCCAGTTCATTAAGAATATTTCTGATTTACATAAACCAACCGCTGTTTGCTAGGAAACTTTTTAAAAAAAACAAGTTCATGTATAATGTGACGCATTCACAGACCCATCTCTTGTATTATTCATCAAATATCTTTTTACCTCGCTAAATTAA